AAAAATTTGTCAAAAAATCTTTGGGCTGAAGCGGTAAATACAGCTGTATATGTATTGAATCGTACGTTAAATTCAGGTAACAAAGAAAAAACGCCCTATGAATTATGGTATAATAAAAGTCCCAATATAAGCAATTTTAAAGTATTTGGTAGTGAAGTTTATGTTCATATACCAAAAGAAAAACGTAGAAAATGGGATCAAAAAGGGAGAAAAGGAATATTTGTTGGGTATTCAGAAGAAACTAAAGGATACCGTATATGCTTTGATGGAAAAGAAGTTTCATTAAGCAGAGATGTTATATTCAAAGAATCTATGGAAATAGAAATCAAAATTAGAAAAGAAGATGAAGAAATAAATTCAGAAATGGTGGATGAAAGTGAAGAAAATAACATTAATGATGAGAATAATGTTGAAAGAAAACAAAATATGGATGAACTTGATCAATCAGCAGATCAGACTCATGAGCAATTAAAAATGAGACTTAGAGATAGACAAAATATAGAAAAACCAGTAAGGTATAGAACAGAAACATTTTATTCAATGTGTGATAATCCAGTTACATATGAAGAAGCTATGACACAAGAAAATTCAGAAGATTGGAAAGAAGCAATGGATGAAGAAATGTTGTCATTAAAAAAGAATGAAACCTGGAAATTAGTAAATATACCAACAAATAAAAAAGTACTTAACAATGGCTGGGTATATCGAACCAAACTCAAGAAAAATGGAGAAGTTGATAGATTTAAAGCCAGACTAGTTATAAAAGGCTATGCACAAGTGCATGGAATTGATTTTCAAGAAACTTTTAGTCCAGTTGTAAAGTATGACTCTATACGAGTACTGCTAGCAATAGCAGCAGCCAGAAAATTAAAACTCAGACAATTTGATATTAAAACAGCCTTTTTATATGGTGATCTTGAAGAAGAGATTTACATGAACCAGCCAAAAGGTTATGAAGATGGAACTAAACAAGTTTGCAAACTTCAACGAAGCTTGTATGGATTAAAACAAGCACCCAGGTGCTGGAATACAAAATTTAAAAATTTGTTGTTAAAATTTGATCTAAAAGAAACAAAGGCAGATCCCTGTGTATTTGTAAGTAATAAAAATGAACAATTAATGATTGTAGCTATTTTTGTAGATGATGGGATTATAGCAGCAACAAATGATGAGCAGGTGGACATGATGGTGAAGTACCTGATGAGCAACTTTGAGACAAAATCAGGTGAACTTAATCATTTTCTGGGTATTGAAATTGATCAGAGATCAGATGGGTCAATATTTATACATCAGTCATTATACTGTCAACGCGTTTTGGAGAGATTCAATATGGCTGAATCCAACGCCCTATGCATTCCTGCAGATCCACAACACTCATTAGATGCAAATTTATCTGAATCATTACAAGCAGGGGAAGTTCCATACAGAGAAGCAGTAGGAAGTTTGTTATATCTAAGTCAGATCACAAGGCCTGATATAACATTTGCTGTAAATCTTGTCAGTCGCTATTTAGAAAAGCCTCTTATAATACATTGGAATGCGGTGAAACGTATTTTAAAATATTTAAAAGGAACCTATAACTATGGTTTATTTTTTCATTCTAGGGTGAAACTTAAGTTACATGGTTATAGTGATGCAGACTATGCTGGTGATACAACAACAAGGCGATCAACATCAGGATACATTTTCATGATGACTAATGGAATATTAGCATGGTGTTCACAAAGGCAAAAATCAGTAGCACTCTCAACTACTGAGGCTGAATACATGGCACTGAGTCAAGCAGTCCAGGAATTAACTTGGTTGACGCTACTAACAAGTGATCTTCTAGAAACACAGGGAGAGACACCTATTTTGTACGCGGATAATCAAAGTGCCATAAAATTGGTGAAGAATCCAGAATTCCATAAACAAACTAAACATATAGATGTTCGTTTACATTATATTCGTGAGAAGTTCAATGAAGGGATGTTTTCACTGGAGTATGTGACCAGCTAAGAGCAGTTAGCTGACATCTTGACCAAGCCAACACCACGAACAAGATTTCAAGAACTCAGAGAAATGTTAGGAATTAGATATATAGATTTATAATTTTTTAATTAACTATGTACGGGTGTATTGTTTAAGGGAAGTGTTGATATTAAACAACACACTGGGTACAGTAATATTATTTAAGATAACAGTTTAATGTATTTTTACTTATGTTAGTATAGTACAAGGTCAAAGGGACACATTCCTTTTACGATTATGTTGTTTTACTCAATGCAGCCTATTGTATACATGTTTACAGTTTAGTCGTAGTTTCACCGTCTATCGAGTAAAGTGACCCGTTGCCGTTGTACATCTCTTATATTATATGTTTTGACATTTTATATTAAATACTATTATATTACGAATAATTTCTAAATCTTTTAATTACATAACCTATTCCATTCAACAAAACTAATATTTTCTGACTAATAGTAACAAGAATGAACTATCATAACAACCAAATTCTATGAGTGAATGTGTACAAATGGCCATTCTTTAATTTATCAAGTGGCGTCCAAATAGTAATTGACAGATTACGAATAGTGCATATGCATCTTGCACCCGAGTTTCTGATAAATAAAAATAAACATACAGTCACATTTGATGCATGTGGAGGAGCAATATCAATTTAACATGTTCTAATAGCATGTAGGAAATATAACCGTAAAAATTGAACACCAATTTCAAACAAACTTATAATTGTTTATACCAGAACCTCTGTTGTTATTGTAAACTATTAAATTCATTAATGGCTAATATTAACAACTTTATTAAAAAAAAAAAAAATGTAAATATATATGTTAAATTACAATATTGTATATATTTTCTATATGTAACCAATGGCCGTGTTGTCAACACTTTATTTGCAAATAGTAACTAATAATAAAAATAAACTTAGTGCTTCTACTATAATTATTGCTTTTAGTAAATATTAAATGAATTACACAAATTAGATTTTGAATATTAATTAAAAATTATATGGAAAATATTAAATTGTTTTAATGCATGAACAGCATTTATGAAAAATTATTCTTTTTTTTACTTCTTAATGCAGCTGTAATGTTTCCACAAACAACCATATCAATTGTAGCTGATGTATGATCTTCAATTTTTAACGGTTCTATCAAAAATTTTCACTGTACAAATATAAATAGTGTATACAAAAATGTAGTATATTACCTGTTAATTGATTTCCATTGAGCTCTTTAATGTGTGGTAATATTTCAAATACTCTTTTTTCAAAATTTTCGATTTTTGTAACTGGACATCCTGTCAATGTCAAGGTGTGTAATTCTTTGCAAAAGTTCAAAAAGTGTAATTTCAACAAATTGATGATCTTGTTTCTAAAAATCACATTTAATACAAAATGCACATATAAAAAATAAATTATTTCTAAATTTTGTTGTTTATAGGTGTTACCAATGGCTTCTTTTTCAAAATAATCAAGCTGTGTAGTATAATATAGAAAAGAACTTTTTGTAAATATTATAATTGTATAGATTGTATTTGTGAGAAAAAGTTTTGTTGTATGATATATTGTATAAGTTTTCAAAATCATTAACTTAACAAAATAATTTAAATATACCGTGTGAGATCAAGTACAACAAGTTTTGATAAAGCAGAGCAAAGCAATATGTCACTTAAATCATTGTCTGGAGCATATAGTTCTTCAATATTTGGTACGTTCCAAATTCCATCCAATGATTTGAGATTACAGGAGGCCACCCTTAATATTTTTAAATTGTTCAATTTAAATGCAAAATCTCTGTAAAAAGAGTTATGATTTATAAGTATTTATTTGTGTTATCTACAATACGTATTACCTGAATGATGATAAATAACTATCAGTTAAATCGAGTTCTATTAAGTTAGGAACATAAGTACTTAACATACACAAACGGTTCACTGTCATAGGAACTTGTAATTTTAATGATGTTATCTGTTCAAGTTTTTTCTGTCTTACGGTGTCTTCCTATAAATATAATGCTCGTGTGAAAGTTTTAATATTTATCAGTATAATAAATTATAAATTTATAAATAAATTATATACAGAGTGTTCAGTAAGTTAGGAAACAGTTAAATTGTTACAAACAATGAGTACAATAGAAATTCGTTTCCTTATTTACTGAACACCCTGTATACAAAATGTCCCATCATGTTCTGACATCCTTATTAACTTTTGATCCAACGAATATTTTATGCTACTTTAATTTAAACAATTTTTACAGCTTTGGATTACGTTAAAAGCTTATATTTTTATTATTTGGACTCTAATCAAAAAAATAACTTTTTTTAATTTATATTAGGCTATTTTCACTTGATTATTATGATTAAGTAAATCATTACTTAATCTGTGATCTCAACCAATCCTAAAAGGGAGCCTTTAAAGACAGTAACTATTTTAGATAAAGGGCAAAATGTATACTATAGATCCTCCTGTAATTTACAAATTTGATTTGTATATTTAAGATCGTAATTGTAATTTTAAATTAGTTTTCAAATTGAAACTTTTTTATGTTACATCTAATCCCCAATAATTAGTGAAGGTTAATTACGGGGTCACAAGCACGATCCCTAATAAAATCTATGAGTTGCCAAAGAATATTTTTATAACCCCTAAGAATAAACAATGACTCGAATTATTTTATGTGATCAACAGTAAATTTTTTTATTTTAAGTGGAATGTGAGATAATGCATTAAAATGATGTCCACATATTTATATTACAATGTATAATTTTTTATAATAATAATTATGGTAATCAATATATATTGCTTACATTTAATATATATATATTATAAAATGGATGTAATATACATTTTTAAAATGAACTATACAGAGTGATTTTTTTATTATACCCACTCAATTACTTACATAATGAATATAATTTAAACATTTTTTTTTATTATTATCTTTCTTTACACATTATTCTTGAATTATCAACTATGTAATACTTTTTAAGTTCATCCTTTATACCTGGTAAGGATGTCAACTTTGTTTTGTTAAAATGTTAGAGTGTTTAAATTAATAGTAAATGACATTTGAATTTTTAGTATAACATTATTTGTTTATTAGATATGAACATTTGAAGTTTCAAATTTTTGAGTTAATATACATTTATAATACACGAGTGATTAGAAATACAGGTAGCTAATAGGTTTTTTTAACCCTTACCAGGTATAAAGGGCGAACTTAAAAAGTATTACATAGTTAATAATTCAAAAATAATGTGTAACTAAAGATAATCAAAAAAAAAAAAATGTTTAAATTATATTTATTATGTAAGTAATTGAGTGGGTTATGATAAAAAAATCACTCTGTATAGTTCATTCTTCATAGCTATTAACAAATCTTTATGCATTATTAAAAGTCAAAATTGTATACTTAACTCAAAAAAGTGAGCAAATTTTTTCAAGAACTTTTTATATTTTACTCCATGACATTGTAATATATAAAGCTATTATTGATCATAGGGGTACAATCAGAATTTTTGCTTGGAGGTGGGCTATGAATTATTTTTTGGGTATTTATGATTTCATTAACGCCAAAGTCTTATATTATTAATTATAATAACTGATATATAGGGAGGTTATAGCCTTATTAATCTTCCTTTGGCTACGCCATTGAAGGGGTTTTAAAATCGCTGTTCGTTTCCCAAATATATTTAACAACCCCTAAAATTTTGCACAAATTACGCCACTGCCATTAATAGATTAATTTTTAAAAGTAATGTTAGTTGTAAAAATATATATATATATATATAGGCATTAGTATTTCCAATAACATTCATCGTGAGATTTTTCCAAGTAAGTAAAGAGTACTTATATGACTAAAAATTTCTCTTTTACAACCTTAAATAATATGGAAATCGTTTTTAGTTTGTAAAAATAAAATTATTTCTTCAAATAATGTATCGACAAGATAAAATTCAAGACGCATCGAAGATAATATTTTTTAAAATATTGGCAATTCTGAGTATTGTGATAATTTGCTATTAATTAATATAATATAATATTAACGTAAACTTCTTCGTCTATTTTTAAGTATCTTTTAATAATTGATTTCTTTCAACGATAACTTGAAGTTTGTTCTATAAAGAATAATAAATAGAATAAAGAAGATTGTAAAAATTGTTTGAGGACCTTACAATGTTTTATTCTTTGTTTTAAATAAAAATGTTTATATTTCTCTCCTAATTTATAATTGATTATTATGTAAAGAAGTACTTACTAAAAGTGCAGTTATTCCAATGTTATTATTATTATTAATCTCATCTAAATCATAATCCATTTTTATTTGATATTCTTGTTTTTCAGAATATAAATTATTGTTTAACTCTTAGGCTGATACAATTGCAATATATTATTGTTTTAAAAATAGTTTGTATCTATTACTATGTGAAAGTTCACTCTTTAACAGTTGCATTATATTATTTTTGTTCCTATAGAAACTATTATTTTGTTTAATCAATTTCAAAATTCAATTTTCATGATTCTAAATTTATGATATTAAGAGATAAAAAAAGGAGAAAAAAATGAATATATTACCATAACTTTTAGCTCAACTTTCAATTTTGAAATTGACATCATTTTCTTAAAATTAGTAAGGATGATAGAGCTTCGCCTTGTGGGCATCCCTGCTTATTAGCTTAAAATCGGAAGTGAATTACTTAGGTATTATTTGGCTTAAAATTTAAATTGTAAAAAATTATTACTTCAATGCTTTCAATAAACAAAATTTTATTTATGATTTTAGCTTCAATACGAAGCTGAGAAGGTATTGGTTTTACTATGATTTTTTTTTTTGTGCCTGTTACCACTTTTTTCAGCTCTCACTGGACCGATTTCTCTCAACGATACGTCAAAAGATCACTAATCGTATTTAGTCGAAGACATTACCCTCAAAATTTGAAAAAATTCTCTTGTTCCCCGTAAACGGGGGAAATCCCCCAAAAAATTACAAATTTAAAAATCGCTAATTTTCGACATTTTTTCAATTTTTTTTACTTAAAATTGCCATAACTTTTTTAAAAATGACCAAATCAATATTCCTTTTGTAAAATATTTTAAAATAAAATAATATATAAAACCCAGAATTTTAACACAAAAATAGCATATTTTTGAATACGGTAGTCATTTTCACCAAGAAGAAAATGTATCACAAAAGATCACAAGTCGTATCTACTTAAAGACATTACCCTCAAAATTGGGAAATTCCCCAAAAAATTACAAATTTAAAAATCGCTAATTTTCGACATTTTTTCAATTTTTTTTACTTAAAATTGCCATAACTTTTTTAAAAATGACCAAATCAATATTCCTTTTGTAAGATATTTTAAAATAAAATAATATATAAAACCCAGAATTTTAACACAAAAATAGCATATTTTTGAATACGGTAGTCATTTTCACCAAGAAGAAAATGTATCACAAAAGATCACAAGTCGTATCTACTTAAAGACATTACCCTCAAAATTGGGAAATTCCCCAAAAAATTACAAATTTAAAAATCGCTAATTTTCGACATTTTTTCAATTTTTTTACTTAAAATTGCCATAACTTTTTTAAAAATGACCAAATCAATATAATTTTTTTTTTTTTTATATAGATACCTTAGGTATTTACCTATCATTTTATTTATTTTTGTGAACATTTGACCCTTTACAAGCCCACAGGAAGGGTTTCAAAATGGTAATGTTTTTACATAAAATTAACTTTTGAAAATGTTCCGGAAAGACTGACACTTTTATATATACCTTAAATTAAAGCTAAATTTGATCTCTGGACTTGTCTTCGTGGTGAAAACGGACATCAAAGTTAAAGAAAAACGTACGATTTCCGTGAAAAAATTCTTGATTTTATATTTTATATTATTTAATTTATATTTTATATAACTTTTGGAAAAATGTATGGATCANTATTAAATTTATATTGCTATAACTTTTGGAAAAATGTATGGATCAATATTATTATTTTTTTATAATAAATATTTATATACCCCTTTCATCTGGCACGCTTTTTTTGTAAATCGGATCATACCCCTTTAACAAGGGGGGTCAAAACTTTAAACNTTTTTATACGAGGGGGTCACAACTTTAAACATGCGTATTGAAACTAGGACATTTTCAATTTAATTTTTGAAAGTATTCCAAAAATACTGACACTTTTATATACATCTTAAATTAAAGCTTATGTAATATACTTTAATTTGAAAAAAAAATTTGACCTCTGGATTTGTCGTCATGGTAAAAATGACTACCGTATTCAAAAATATGCTATTTTTGTATTAATATTCTGGGTTTTGTATTTTATTTTATTTTAAAATACCTGANGGGTTTTGTATTTTATTTTAAAATACCTGACAAGGGGAGTAAAGATTTTATAAATATTTTATAAATATTATATAAATAAAAAATTGATATAGCATAGAAAGTTAAACTTATTTAATTTTTTTTGCTTTTTGAAGTCGAGAAAAATAATTTTGAAATTTGAACAAGCTTAAATAGCCAATTTTTTCAGTCAATGGTAGCGACGTACGGTTGCTGAGTCGGTAAAGCTTGTGTTTTACTAGCATGAGTTACAAGGTTTCCAACCAGCGTAAGGCAATGAATTTTTTTCATTTTTTCTTAATTATTTTTAAGTTAGAATAAATTTTCAACTGCTTTGATTTTTATATCATTAAGATTTAATAACTTCAATTAAGATCAAGGATCCCATCACTGTAGTCGCCACTCGCGAGAAGAAATTTTTTATTCATATTAAAATTATTTTACTATATTTTAAGTTTTAGCTTCGATGCAAAGCTGAGAAGATATTTTTTTGTGACTATCATTTATTCTCTCTGCTCTAACTTGACCTACTTTTTTCAATGATACGTCAAATGACTACAATTCGTATCTAGTAGAAGATATTACCCTCAAAAATTGAAAAAAATTCTAATTTATCAATGAAACAGTTACTTATCCCATGTTCTCCATACAGACAATTAAAATCATTCATTTCTATTGTTTACAAAATATTTATTGACGAATCAATTTTGATATGATAATTTGAAATTATAGGTTTCAAATACAAAATTAAATCATTTTACTTTGTAATTTAATCATTTTTTTACTCTATTTGTGTGTGCTACTACTAGACTATAATATTCCAAATTTGTTGATAACATGTTGCTATATAAATCATTTCTAAAAAAAAATGATTGTTAGTTTCTCCTGAATTAACAATTGATTTTTACAATTATAATCAAATTTTATAATACGCTCAATTTAGTAAATCTTTTTAACAACTTTGTTTTGATTGGTTCATTTAGTTAAAGTAAATCATTAATATTAATTAAGTTCTGAATATTTCAATTGCAGAATCTTTTTAAATACCTTTTAAGGTTTTCTATTACGATAAAAATGCAAAAAAGTATTGAGCTATTCTGATAAATTTACTATAAATAGTATTTATAAAACTTTCTAACTGCATACTAATCCTAACGATACAATTTTTTTAATTCTCATAAAATTTAATCTATTTAATGATGTCAATTTCAAACTTGCCAATTGAGCTAAAAGTTATGTTAAAATAAATAAATTTTTTTTTATTATAAACATTCACAAATATCAACTTTAAACGATTAAAATAATAGATTAAATATGTCATTTTCCTTATTTTTAACATATTAAAATCAGTATTAATTTAAACAATTTTTTTTGTTATTTTAAACATATATCCTTGCATTCCATATATTCTTGCATTCAATAAACAATACTTAAAACATCAAAGTAATGTAAAATAAAAAATTTGTATTTTTTTTATTATTTTCAATTCTAAATTATAAAATATGAAGGAGAAAATCTTATACAGTATAAAATATTAGCATAAATGAGTTGGCATGATTAAAAAGAAACACAAATGTTCATTCATATGTTAACTATAATTTTAATAATTATAAATATTTATGTTAAAGATAACAACTAGCGATATATTGTCAAAAAAAGTAGGTAGGCTATTAATTATATAAGCCATCAAATCAATTAATTAATTTTATGATATAATTAATGGTTATTAAAAACAAAAAAATCAAGGGACATCAAATGACTTTGATGTTAAATATCATTATTACAGTTATATGATATAACTGACCTCCCTGAAACTTTCCAAGTATCCCAGTGACTAAATCATCGCTAACAATAAATTTTATTCAATCCCCTATATTATTAAATATAGGGGATTTATATACATAAATTATAAATATATTTCAAATCAAAACTTATTTTTATTTTTCTATATTTATACAAATACCAAAAAATATCTATTTAATAAAAATGTATGTTTTTTAATGATACAGTTTGGTATCTACTTCAAGAGTATTTTAACCAAAAATAAAAAGTTTATTTAGTTAAAAATAATATCTTTTAAATTTTTATTTTTTTCATTTTAGGAGAGTACTTAAAAACTTTTTTGATTTCGTCATCCATTAAAAATTTAAATGATAAAATAATTATAGTTTTTAGGTAAAATATTTTAACATTTTCTGTATTTTTCTATATTATTTATATTATAATAATATTTTTATTTAATAAATTTAATTAAAAAACCTTACAATTTTCTTTATAATTCTGAATATTTAACTATTGTGAAATATATACAATATAAAAAATAATTAATACCTCATGACAATTTAATATGCATTATGACAAGTTTATCAAGTTATATTTTATGGGAAATTAGCGTACCACCCGTGTAAGCACTTCGGTACAGGTGATTCAGTGTCAAATATAACTCTGCCCAACTCTTTAAATGTTTTAGCATTCAATACAACAACTCCCGTTCGATGCTCTTGCTCTGAACCTCCCCACAATATTGACGATAATATTACACCATCATCTTCTTCCTGTACATTATAATAATATATATGTTTTTACTTTTTTAATTTAAAATTTATGAAGTCCGTTAATTCCACAAGGAAAAATAAACAAAATTCTTACCTGAGCATTTGGTGTAGGCACAAAAATTGGTTCACTAGGGTAAACATTGTCCTCACACCATGTGACGCATGTTTTACTACTTATGTCTACTTTAATTAACTGTAAAAAAATTAAAGATATACTACGTAATGATTTCCAAGTATCATATTTATTTACATAAAATATATATACACAAATTGTACTTTGATTTTTTGTTTCTAGCTTTTTAAGGGCATTAAGGGCTATCGCGGCCTTTTTCAAAGAGTAAGTTTTTTATATCTGGAAAACTCTAGGACGAATAGTTGCGGTAGTTGAGGCTACTCAAATTACTAAACTGATCTCTCAGCAAATGGAGAAGCCCTTGACAAGTGGCGCAACTACTGAGGATGCTGCAGCACCCCAAGGCTTTAATATCTAACTGAATTTTTATACATATAATTTCAACTAAGTATTTTTATTTTTTTTAATTTATTATCAGTTTTTTCTATTTGAGGCGTGTTAGGGCCAGGTATCTAATTACCGAAAATTAAAAAACAATTGTTATTGCATCAAATTATTCTATATATTCACGCTCAAAATGTGAAAAAATTAAACTTCATACTATTTATACATTTAAAAAACGAGTACCTAATGATAGAGCTGTCAATAGCACTTTATAAGAATATAAAATGGTCTTATTTATTTTTCGAAAAAAAAATGTTGTTTCTTATATTACTTAGCCCAGTTACGCCTTATGTCAATTTTTATTTCTTATCTAGAATTTAGAGATAGTAATTGGGCGGGGTCACCCCTACCAAAAAAATTTACTACAATCCCTAAAATTAAAAAACAATTAATTGTATTTTTATCCAAAAAAATTTAAAGTAATGAAAAAATCTATTTAGTGCTTGTTTTACGTTAACATTAAATTACTAATATAGCAAATAAAATTGTTATTTTAAATATACTGGGAAATTTTAATATTAAGCTACCAATCAATTCTATATTAGTTTGCTCAGTTATATAGTTATGAATAAATCGCTTTCATTAACATTATACATTATCCAGACATATATATTAATGGGAGGAATTTGGTGGATATGAGGTTTAGAGCCCCCCCACATCTTTATGAGCCTTATACAATTTTAGCATCCCTAGATTTCTGCTTTATTTGCGCCACTGACCGTAATCAATTCTCAAACCTATGACAAGTACGCGTCAAATACTATCGTTTTACCAACTTGTCCACATTGTACCTGTCATACTTAAATTTTGCTCTTTAAAAATGTATTACCGTTCCTGGATTTTGAGCATCTACATCCGAAGATATCGCATAAAAATATCTGTACTTTCTCCCCATATTTTTGTCATTAATTCTAGGCGTTTCACAGCCAAAATTACATAAAATTTCAGGACTTATGATCAAACGTTGCTCTAACTGTGAATTATCAGATGATTTTTTCAAAGGAAGTATAAATCTTAACGGTCGACTCCGAAACATAGCAGCATAGTTAGGATTTTTATTCAGATTCTAATAAAAAATAATACATATTTGTAACATGGTAAACTTTGAATAGAAAAAATAAAAAAAATTGTATATTTAATAATGATTTAGGGTTTTTCATAAAAATTGTCATTTTAATTGTAATGTGAAATAAAATTTAATTTACTTTTAAAGCTTCAATGTACATGCAATTTATCATATTTGGATCCCGATAACAACATATGTCTATCACTACATTGTTGTTTTCTTCATATTGGTTAATAATATGTAAATAAAAAAAAACATCCGTTTCGTATGTAAAAATTGTACTTCCATCTGTTCTCGATACTAAATGAATTAAAGTCTAAAAATTATTGGAGAAATTAATTTGGTTTGATAAAACTATTATCAGTTTAATGGAGAAATTTAAAAACTTTTATAAAAAAAATAAATCATTATAATATAATTAATTTGTTAATATACGCATTAGCTTAACTGGGTAATCTGGGAACCATTTTAGAGCTGAAGAGAGTGGTTCTCCTTTAAATTTTTTTACAAGAGCTGTTAGTACAGATACGCTCAACGGTTGTTCTACTACAATAAAATAGTGTTCTGTCATTCCAAAAGTATGCATGTAACTTGGATGTAAGAACCAACGACTTCTAATTGAAGCAACCACGTGCAATTGATCAAACATCTGATTTAATTTTGAATAACGGATCCCTGATTCTATAAGTTTAATTATAATTTTTGTAATATTAAAATGAAAATTAACAATTTATTTTTAATACTTGGATCTCGTCCAGGAAATCGCACCACGCAGTAATAAATTCCATCACATTTAGGTATAGTTGCTAAATTGTAAACATCTCCATTAATATCTAAAATTGGATGTGCAGAATGATGTACTATTCCAGTTTTGCTAGAAATTTCGACCTATGACATGTATAGTATTTTATTAATATCTAATGAATAATAAAAATTTTAACTATTTTATGTATAAATAAATTATTTGTAAAAATAAAATAATATATATAATAATAAACATTTCTAATAATGACTGGAGTAGAGGTAAAATTACTTCATAGCTATAGTATAATTTCGGTTTAAAGACATCTAAACATTTTTTATTTTTTAGGTTATGGGGTAACTTAATTGGTACTTAATTAATTTAAAACATAATATTTACAATGTTTAATGTTTCAAGCGTTTTAGGATCTATCCTGATCATTACAGGATATTCAGTTAAAGAATAATATTCATCACCAAATGGATAGATTGATATCATTGCATTATCAGTTTGTTCCATTTCCCATTTAAAAATGTTAGCAAACCTAAACAACAAACCATCACAAATTCATTTTATTTAATATATATACATATAAATTTTAATTAAATTAAAAGAAACTATAATTTTTGACTGATAAAGATTTTTTTTTAAATTAACTCTTAAAATAAATCACAAACATAGTATTTGTGATAAAAGTTAATTGTTATAAGTTTTTAATTTCTGTACATTTCTTATCAACAGAATCCTCATTGTGATAGTTTTTCAATCTATAATTTTATAGTCAAATGAGTTGTTATAACGTTTATAGTCACTTTTTTAGCTTCGATGCGAAGCTGAGAAGATATTGGTTTTACTATGATGTGTTTTTTTTTTTTTGTGTATTTGTTACCACTTTTTCTCAGCTCTCACCGAACCTTTTCTTTCAATGATACGTCAAAATATCACAAATCGTATCTAGTCGAAGGCATTACCCTCAAAAATTGAAAAAAATCCCTCGTTCTCCGTAAATGGGGGAAACCTTCAAAAAAATTACAAATTTAAAAAACGCTAATTTTCTAAATTTTTTCAATTTTTTTTACTTAAAATTGCCATAACTTTTTTAAAAATAACCAAATCAATATAATTATTTTTTTTATAGATGTATGATGTTTTTACCTATCATTTCGTATATTTTTTTTATAAATCTGACTTTTTACATGCCCAAAGGGTGGATTTAAAATGACAACTTTTTTACAAAAAATTAACTTTTTCAACTTAACTTTTGAAAGTGTTCCGGAAAGTCTGGCACTTTTAAATAAATCTTAAATTAAAGCAAATGTAATATACTTTATCATGGAAAAAAAATTTCAGACTTTATTTTGTCTTCATAGTGAAAATGGCTACCGAGTGCTATTATTGTGTGAAAATTCTCGATTTTATTTTTTACATTTTTAACTTTATAATGCTATGACATATTGAAAAGTGTATGGATCAACATTATTTTTTTATGAGAAATAATATTTTTTAATAATCCCTTTTTCATTCTACATACTTTATCTTAATTAGGATATTAATAATGAACTAGCAGATCATGTAGCTTTTGGAATAGTCCACCAATTTTTTTAAAATAAAACAGTATCTAAAGATTTGCATGGAAGCGTTTTTTTCTGATAGTGATTTTAATCACTGTGAGATATCATTATACTTGACCCAACTATGCCACGTCACCACTGTGCCGCGACCCCCCTATGCTGGGTTTTTTATTTTAAATTTAACTTATGTTATAACTACCTATTAAAAATTGTTTTACACGGATCAGGGCATGCTTTGGTTCCAAATTCTGTCACAACAATTCTTTGGGCTGCATGATTCTTTTTGTAAGTATTTGATTCCAAAAATTTACACTGGTAAGTTACATTTCCTTCTTTAAATTCAAATCTATACAAAACACGTAGATTGATTAATCGATTATATACATTAAATCGATTTATTTAGATGTGATTACTGAATAACCTATGTAATAGAGCAGAACAATCAAATAAATGTTTGAACTCTGTTTCCCCTATTTTTGTACATCCGGGACCATTTCTCAATAGTGAACCAGATAGCCATTTTGGTATTAAGCCTGTAGTAATTTGTTGAATAAATTTTATATAAATAGTATTTACAAAATATTTATTTATCTTTATTAGTTATTAAATGGTGAAAAATATTTATTTAATTATAGCCGGAAAATTTTGTATCCTATTATTATTTACTTGATGTTATGCTTAAATAATTAAGGGAGTTATTATTTGAAAAAAAATCAAATGCTTAATCAGTTTAGTAGTTAGTAATTATTTAGTAGTTATCAATAACTTATTATAATTTGTAAATATTTATTTAGGTTTGCTCTATGAAAGATATGACTTATTACGTAATCAAAACATTTAATTAATTAATTTTTTTTTATTTTAAACATTTTAAATATGACACTTAAAAGTGATAATAAGTATATATAGCAATTTATGAATTATATTATATATAATACGTACCTTTAGATTTGCCATGGATAGGGTGTAAGGTTTCTTTGATACAACTTCGAAGCCAAATAGAATTATCACAGTTTGAGTATAAATCCTCATAATTATTTAATTTTTCCATTAAGAATTGTTTATCTTCATCCAATACCTTAAATAATTCTTTGATTTTTAAACGATTAAAAGAATGTCGTGATGAAGCTAATGATCGTTGTAAACTAAATGAAAAATGAATTGGGCGTCCTCTACAACGTCTTACAAAACTTTTTATTTTTTTAATTTAATTTTTTTTAATTTTGGCTACATTACCCATGTTTTATATTCTTTGGAGGTATTGTTTATTTCAAACGTTATATTCTCGTTGACTTAAATATGGCGATTTATAAGCGTGTATTGAAATAAGAGTAACAATTGGATTAATACGATTACAAGCCATCTACGGCTTCAAGATAAGTCTAAGATTTATCTTAATAAACTTAACATACCTTAGCGTTAACACAAATACTAAGATCCACGTGAGCACCACAAAATAGAATTTAAATGTTAGTATTCTTTTTATTGACGTTCATTAGGTACTTGAACATACTCATAACTAAATCTTGATTTTGAATACGCAAATTTGATAGTTGTGCAAGTCTACGAAGGTTAATCGATTTTTTTTCTGATGTTACGTAATTTTAGAAACGTAACATATTGTGATAACGATTTTATAACACAACAAAATATAAATATTTTGATACTATAATTATTATTAATCGTAATATTATTTTATTTTGATTAAATAAATTATAAAATTCTCTTATTTAACTTTTAATTTTTATATTCATAAAGTGTTTATATTACACTAAAAACATCATTCTTTTTCATAGTTTATAATAATTAACATATATGTGTAGTGTTTCAAACTACTATGTTTATATACATGTTTATATTTTATACTCATAATTAAGGTATAGTTTAAATTTAATTAAAAAGTGGTAAATTTTAGTGATGATGTGATTTTATTATATAAAATGTTGATGTTGATATAAGTGTATTAAATGTAATATCTACTCATTTTTTTTTTTGTTAATAACTCAAAATTTATTGTGTAAGAAAATTACTCAAAAAAAACCCAGCACAGGGGGGTCACGGCACAGGGGGGTAGCGGCACAGTGGTGACGTGGTATTGTTGGATCAAGTATAATGATATCTGACAGTGATTAAAATCACTATCAGAAAAAAACGCTTCCATGCAAATCTTTAGATACTGTTTTATTTTAAAAAAATTGGTGGACTATTCCAAAAGCTACATGATCTGCTATTTCTTTATTTATATCCTGATTAAGATAAAGTATATCGAATGAAAAAGGGATATAAATATTATTTCTCATGAAAAAATTGTATTGATCCATACACTTTTCAATAAGTTATAGTATTATAAAGTTAAAAATGTAAAAAATAAAATCAAGAATTTTCACACAAAAATGGCATTTGGTAGCCATTTTCACTATGAAGACAAAATAAAGTCTGAAATTTTTTTTCCATGATAAAGTATATTACAATTGCTTTAATTTAAGATTTATTTAAAAGTGCCAGACTTTCCGGAACACTTTCAAAAGTTAAGTTGAAAAAGTTAATTTTTCGTGAAAAAGTTGTCATTTTAAATCCCCCCCTGTAGACAAATAAAGGGTCAGATTTATAAAAAAAAATATACCAAATGATAGGTAAAAACATCATGCATCTATAAAAAAAATAATTATATTGATTTGGTTATTTTTAAAAAGTTATGGCAATTTTAAGTAAAAAAAAATTGAAAAAATTTCGAAATTTAGCGATTTTTAAATTTGTAATTTTTTTGGAGGTTTCCCCCATTTACTGGGAACGAGGGAAATTTTTTCAATTTTTGAGGGTAATGTCTTCGACTAGATACGATTTGTGATCTTTTGACGTATTNGGAAATTTTTTCAATTTTTGAGGGTAATGTCTTCGGCTAGATACAATTTTTGATCTTTTGACGTATTTTTGAAAGATATCCGTTCTGTGAGAGCTGAGAAAAAGTGGTAACATACACACAAAAAAAAAACACATAGTAAAACCAATACCTTCTCTGCTTTACATCAAAGCTAAAATATATCTTAAAAATATTTAATATATTGTTGTGAATTATAAATTTTAAATTATGAATGGGAGTTAAACAGAGCTTAAAGTAGAGGGAGACGCAAGGTTACTTAGTTCCTCTACCTCTAAAAGTACTTAAAATGCTCCTCCTTTAAAAAATTACGCTGTAATGCTTAATTTTTGGTCAAATTATCCATAAGTTGTAATCAAATGAAGAAAATAATAATTAATTAAATATTAGCTTTGTGTAGTAGTATGAACAATTTTGAAACATGCATTAATCATATATCATTAACATAAACACATAATTAGTTGACATTTATTATATCTGGTAACAATTTGTAACAACCTATTGATTGATAAAGTATAATCAAAATCCTTAAATCTATTTTTATGAAAATAGATATATATTTCAGCTGACAAAATTTAAGAATTAAAACATAATTTTAAAATGATTATAAAACCTTTTTTTATTTCATGCTTAATATACTATAGGCCACATCTCAATGTTTACTGCAATATTGCGTGAGTTATAGCTTTGGATTCACTCAGTTGATATCGATAAAAAAATAAATAATCCTTTAAGAGGTGCAAATTTTTTTTTGCTTTTGCTTATCATTTTTTTTTAATGTGTAACTTAATTGTGAAATAATGATTAAAAATTTAATTAATAGGAACAATCTCTTCATTATTTCTCTTCAAATTTTCACCTTTAAGGGGGTGTTCACTTATCTTACAGATCTGTGCTTCCCTTTTATAAGACCGCCTGTAGACATCTGAAACGCTCAAAATGATAGAGTCTCATTAAGTTTTGTTTCCACTTTAAGTCCTGGAATTTACTTCTTAATATTTACATATAATATCTTAAGATTATAAAAATACTTAATACGGAGGGTGTTAAAAAATGGTGAAATTAAATCAATATTTTTTATTATTAGATCCTCAATTTATTTATGAAAAAGATGTGTACCCATGTTAAATCCAGGATCAATCATATTTTCGAACAACAAATACATCAATCATTCTTAATAAATTAATATGTTTTTCTAGTTAAAAGATCATATTAAGAATTATTAATCTTTAGGAATTACTTGGCTTAAAATTTAAATTTTAAAAAATTATTACTTCAATGCTTTCAATAAACAAAGTTTTATTTATGATTTTGGCTTCGAAGTTAATTTCGAAGCTAAGAAGGTAAATAAGCTAAGCTTACTATGATGTGTTTTTTTTTTTGTGTATGGTAACATACACAAATTTTTTTCAATTTTTTTTTACTTAAAATTGCCATAACTTTTTAAAAATAACCAAATCAATATAATTATTTTTTTTATAGATGCATGATGTTTTTACCTATCATTTGGTATATTTTTTTTTATAAATCTGACCCTTTATTTGTCTACAGGGGGGGATTTAAAATGACAACTTTTTCACAAAAAATTAACTTTTGAAAGTGTTCCGGAAAGTCTGACACTTTTAAATAAATCTTAAATTAAAGCAAATGTAATATACTTTATCATGGAAAAAAAAATTTTCAGACTTTATTTTGTCTTCACGATGAAAATGGCTACCAAATGCTATTTTTGTGTGAAAATTCTTGATTTTATTTTTTACATTTTTAACTTTATAATACTATAACTTATTGAAAAGTGAATGGGTCAATACAATTTTTTCATGAGAAATAATATTTATATCCCTTTTTCATTCGATATACTTTATCTTAATCAGGATATAAATAAAGAAATAGCAGATCATGTAGCTTTTGGAATAATCCACCAATTTTTTAAAATTAAATACTATCTAAAGATTTGTATCGAAGCGTTTTTTATGATAGTGATTTTAATCACTGTCAGATATCATTATACTTAATCGAACTATGCCACGTCGCCACTGTGCTGCGACTCCCTTGTGCTGGGTATTTTAAATATAAAAACATTTGGAACACATACTAGAGAGTTGGGAATATATAAACTTTTAACTTTTTAGTTACAATACATCATAATAAATAATCTATTAAAAGAGGAAATAAGAACATCTGCTTTTGTGAAAAATTATATACAGAAAATCATCTAATAAGCGTGTTCTTAACTGATGAAATGTTATGTATGTGTGTAGGAGAATGGTTATATTATATTATAAAGACAGGTGGGTATTTGTCGAGGGTTGGTCGAGCTGCATACATATCATAAAACTGTATACAAAAGGTGAATGTACCGTAGCTGTTGTCGCCATTTTAAAGGTGATAGAAAGAAGGGGAGTTTTAAAATACATTGACATGATAAATACGAATTAAAAAAGGAAAAAAAATCAAAAAAGAAAAGTGTAGATTTTTATATGTAAAATGAACACTATTCATTTTTTTCTTTATTGGTATATGCGTAAATATAAAATTTTAAAAGTATTATTTTAGTTTATTTTCTCTACTTTTAATTATATTTTTACAATAATAAACATAAATTTTCTATACTTTTAGAAATAAAATATAAGTTTCAAATTCACGTTGAAGTATTGAGTGAATTTATTAATCAAAAACTAAATATGCTAACGTTTTTATGCCTACCTAAAAAATAACATTTTTGTGTATAATAATTTTTATTTTTATATTATAAATATTATTATGTTGGATGTTTGCTCAAAGAATTTATTTATTGCATCGTATAGTTTTATTTTTTGATGTCATTTGTTTTTATCAATCATAGACGAAAACAAACTATTCGCTATAAAAATTTATAGTTTCAATTTTCAGAAATTTTTTATAAATATCACGTGATATTTCTTCGGTTAATAAATTTTGTATCTTCGTTTTATTTATATTTCATTTTGAAAAAAATCATATTAACATTTTCACATTAAATTAAGATACACACAAATACTATCGTTGTAATAAATATTTACACTATTTTAGTGCAAATTTGTATTAGATTAAAATAGATTTGATTCCCAATCAAATTTAAAGATATATTTTTACATCATGTTGAATAGAAAAAGGAAAATTTCTTATTAGATAATTTCATATTAGTAAATGTAATAGAACTTTCTTAATCATTAAAAAAATCCATCAAGTGTCAAATAATTTCAATACATTTGAAATAAATCAAAATTAGTAACATCTGTAAATAGTAATTTATAAATGTAGCATGTTTGTTTTTTAAATTTTGTATTACGATTTGTATACACTAATCTATTTTTAATAAATTAATGACATAAGCTCAAACACAAAATTGTACAAAGGCGCCTAAAAAGTACAACTAATAAAATATTTGCATCGATAAAAAATGTTTAACAAAACGTATCAAAATTTCTATTAAAAATATGATCGTTATCATTTATAGTATAATACTTTAATAGTAGTTGATGTAAAGGGTACTAACATAACACCATATTAAGGTATCAAGTCATAGCATTTGTGTCATTAAAAACCCATTCACAAATTTTATGATCGAAAAATATATTATAAAATATAAGACTAAAAATATTAACTTTTACTAGGTGTATTTTTATTTAATGTATAATTAAAGTATTAAATATTGATATTGTTGAAACTATGAAGACATAATTAGAATAAGTTTTTAAAATATTTTTAAATTTAAGCAAGGTATGAAAACGTTATGAATAAAGTTATAGTTATAACAAACATTTTTGTTAAAACGTAATTAAAAAACAAAAATATGTTATATAATATCAATAAACGTAAAATATCGTTAAACATAATACAACTTACAATATAAGATAATTCTAATATGGAAAAAATAAATTATTTTAAAACGTTATATTTAAAAAATTCAATTTAAAAGAAATAGTATTTTGCTCTCTTTAAAAACTGCTTGTGTCAGTGAATTATGTTCGAACATTTTTAACAGTAAAAGAAAAAATTAATAACACTTAAAAATTATATAGTATTGAAATGACTAGTAACGTTAAACTGAATTAAAAGATAACATAATAATATATTTAAACATTAAAAAAAAATTTTTTAGTCTGAACCCTGAATTTAGAAACGTACACTGAAAATGTATTAGAGGGTTTGATAACTTTTTTGAACAGAGAGTAACTTTTTAATGAAAACAGTTTTCATATAAGTTTTCAAAATACTCTTTATTTCAAACGCAGGTTAAAATTCATACTAGAGATCTTATAACTGTTAATTCATGTTAAAAAAACAAACTAAAAATAAAAAATTGGTAGCACAGTGGAGCGTGGCATAGTTGGGAAAAGTATAGATGATACCTGACAGCGATTAAAATCATTATCATAAAAAACGCTTCGATGCAAATCTGTAGATAGTGTTTAATTTTAAGAAATTGGTGGATTATTTCAAAATCTACATGATCTGCTATTTCTTGCAAAATCAACTCATATTTTTTGTTCTACTTCGACTGCCATTTGCACATAGAAAATAGGTCGTCAGTACAAATTTTTTTTTTGAACATCTAGTACATAAAATAAGCTTTATTTTAATATATATTTAAAAGACGCAGTATTCGTGGAACGTTTTCAAAAGTTAAGTTGAAAAAGTTCTATTTTTTATACAAATTTTTAAGTTTTCAAAAAGTCAAAAAATTTTGAAGAGGCAAAATAATCAAAATAAATATAAATTTATATTTAATGTAAATATACTACGGCAGCCGTTTGCACGTAAAATTAAAGACGTCGGGGCAATTTTTTTTTTAAATTTATAGTACGTAACATAATCTTTAATTTGACATATGATTAAAGGACGCATAATTTCTATAATATAATAAAAATTAATCACTTGTGGCTAATTAATTAAGTAAAATTAAAACTATATTAAAAATATAATTAATTTAAAAAACTAAAAAATATTAAACTCAAAGCCACAAAAAATTAATGAAAAGTCGCGGATACGCATAATTTCTGGAACATTTTCAAAAGTTAAGTTGAGTTTTGTAAAAAAATTACAATTTTGAATTCTCTCTTGTGGGCAAATAAAAGGTTTAAGTTATATAGTAATAAAAATCAATATTTTAACAGTGATTCGCTCTGATAAACTCAAAATACTACATTCTCATAAACATTTAGACAATTTTTTTTAGTAATATATTAGGAACTTATTTTAAGAAAATATTCTTCGGATACAAATAACATATACAGCTGATGATAACTGTTTTGTGTATAACTGTTTATATTTCATATTATTTTCGTGTATATTAATTTGCAATGCAAAGTTACTCAATATTGTAAAATATAACGTAACATGGAGTATATTACTATATGTGTCTTTAAATACTAAATATGTGGACAGTGCTATTTAAGTTATAATTTTTTAAGTAAAATATAGATTATAAGGTTTACGTTTTAGTTGTACACAATTAAGTTCTATTAAAAATAATGCCGTTGATTAATTTTGTTGTCTATCCAGACATTTGTTATTTTAGTTTGAGTCCTTAAAATTGTCTATTGGAAAAATGTGTCTACTTGAATTAATTCTTATTTTGAAATTGAATAGAGCAAAAGAATCATTGACAATACATTTTTTACTTGGTTTGTATTTACTCGTGGCTTCTTGATCTTCCTTTCCCCGTCTTTATAGTATCGCATTTGTGAAACTATTGCTGTGATTTAATATTTATAGTGCACGTGTATGAACTGATAGAATCAACAATGTCCGTCCAGGTGGACGAGTAGGCACGTGCAAAATATATTATAGTGTATATTATAACTCGAGGTAAAGAATGGATAAAAAGATACCTTTGTGCGTGAATTTGGCCGCAGGAGTTGCCCAAGACACGCGCCTGTAGGAAGAATAAGAATAAGAAACCTTATGGTTTTTTGTTAAAATATATGACAAGTAGTGTGCGCCCGGCGTAACGAAGACTGGCAACAACCAGTACCGGAGGTGCGCGTGCTATCAGCTGTCTAACCGGCCGGCATAACAGTCAGCACAATATCAGTCGCCGGTTCTCGCGTTCAGTAGTCTCTTCGCCGTTCGCTCGTACGCACTTGCCGTGTTCACCAAATGAGTTCAATTTTACGTATAACATTTATTATTACGTCGTACCAACGGTGGTGACGAGAGGCGTTTAAAATAAACTTTGTGAATGTTCACAGCTGAGGTTCTGTTCGAAGTGTTTTATAGATTGTAAATTAAAATATTTGGTAGGTAAGTATCAGTTCCTCGGTTAGTGTCGAAATGAATCTTATGTGCACTGAGTCGCGAGCCGGATCGGAAGACAAGTGTTTTGCCCAAGACAGGACTATATTTCGAGATGAACGGGCCATCAAAAAGCTTTTGGAGACTGAAACGCAATACGTGCCAGGATGCGATTACATGTCACGGTCTCGATCAAACCTACAACCATTTATGAGAAGAGTCGTAGCCACGTGGATGCTCGACGTAAGTTCAAATATTTTTAGATTTATTTATTCAAATAGATTTATAAGATTTCTATATGTATTTTATACGTAGAGCATACAATACTGACGTGAAATCACATAGATGAACAGTTAATTAAGTTTTTTTTTTATTACTCACTATTCACAAGTCAACATTTTTGTTAATTCTATATAAATCATAAACGTTTGTAATTACCTTTGTATTCATTCGCGAAAAATGTCATTAGTAGTAGTTATTACAAAATTAAAACTAAAATAATTATAGAATTGTTCCTCTTTAATTATGAAGTATTGCATACCATTAAAAAATTGTCGGTCATTACTTGACTTGTGAGCTATAAAACTGCTGATTACAACGTCACCAGCTGAGCGAAACAATTTTTTTGGCTTACACAAGATAACAAGTCTGATAATAAATTCCATTAAAATGTATTTAATATTTACATAACTTAAATGTATTTAATTTTTTTGCTTTCAAAGTTACAATAAATTTTGGACATTTTCCAACAATTTCAATATACCAACAAATTTGTAATTCATAGTATGCATGATAATGAATTATCAAAAAATACAATCTAATTATTTTTAGCAAGGTTATTGAACTGATATTTGCATTCAAGACTTTCAAGCATTTTTTAGATGCTTTCAATTGTTGGGTTATAAGTTCTAGATAAAATTTCCTAGATTATATTTTAAATGTTTTTGAAAAATTGATTCAGGGAAATTTTCAAAAGGGTCACGTTTGATGTTTTGAAATTCAATGTTATATTATTGATGTCGATAAAAAAATAAATAAAAACATTGTATAGTTCTTGAAATTCTGTCTACATTCTGATTATGTTAAAAATTGTGTTCACTATACATGTCTATTTCGACTAAACGTTAATAAACAAAAAGATCCTGAAATAAAGAAATGGCTCTTAATGAACAATATAATTCTAAGTACTTTTACTTTAGATAAACATCATTCTATTGCATCTTACAAATGAAATTTTTTTTTAATTTTATGTACATTTCTTATAGAATCTAAAAATATGAATTCATGAACTCATTTTAACAGCTCATTTTCACGCGTTCTTTTTTAAAAGGTCTTTGAAAAGTCTGAAGACCTTCTGCGCTAACTCTCATATAAACATAAAATATAAAATTGATTTTATTAGAATAAATGTTTGATATTTAAACTCTACACATTTTTTTCTTGATATGACGCGAGTCGTGACAAAATAGAAAGGGCCTTCGTAATAACTACGTAGAATCTATGATTGTATTTACACGTGGACTGTGTAATTTGAATATTGTCACATAAAACTGATGCATTATTTATATGCCACACATAATAACAACAATAATAAATTGGCTTGAGGTATACATGTATGTACATTTTCAATAATGTCTACACTATGTTGCATTTATTACAATTATTATTAATGTATATATCCCTATTCGAATAAAGGTAAGTGTTTCTTTGAATACATATCTGCTTCATTTGACCGTGAATAATAACAATATATATCGTATACCTCTTCACCTTTTGAGCTTTAAGACACATCTCGTACGTAACCCAACCAAAACCAGCCTATGCACTAATTAACGTTCCAACATGACATTGCATATTGGAAAACATTTTTACCAAGCTAATTATGTAGGACGTAAACAATCGAATTTCTGATTGTTGTTTACAAAAAAAGTCTCATATGACTAGTATAACTGCATAAAATTCAATATTAAAAAATGTATATTCACACGTTTACCATGATTTTTCAACCCTGCCGCTCTACTCTAAAAGAACCGGTATCGGATTTGTACGCGCTTTAAATAAATAAGTAATTAGGTTTTTATTCAGCCAACGATCTACGTGTTTAAAACCACGCTGTACTATTATTGTATAGCTTCATCACGTTGAAGGCAGATTAAATTAGTTCAATGACACTTGGTAGTCGTGTATTAGCTCACGGAGCATTCCATACTCTATAGTAGGTAATTTACTGCATTTACAATTACTGCGTTGCTTCCATCAATGTGATAGGGACTTCTCAAAACATCTTATCGTGGTTTTTCCTTAAGTTGAATGACACTATATATATTATTCAATAATTTTACATGAGAGCCACGTAAAAAATAATTCTTCACGTATGAATGCCAAGTTTTAATTCAACTGTTTTCAATTTAGGTATGTGAAGAGCAGAACTGCGAAGATCAAGTTTTCCCGCTCTCGGTGAATTTCCTGGATAGGTTTTTATGTGCTTGTGATATATCCAAAACACATCTACAACTTACAGGAGCCGTGTGTTTGCTGTTGGCGTCTAAAGTCCGTCAGTGTACAGCTCTCTCCATCGATCTACTTTGCTATTACACTGAAAATAGTGTCACCGCAGAAGAAATGAGGGTAAGTTGTAAGGCGATATGTTATCGCTTATATTTTTTTAGTAAAAAAACGAATAAGTATTTAAAAATTTAAAGTCTGTTTCTGGTTCACTACGCGTTTGCTTTAATTATTACTGAACGGTACTTTACTAAGAAAATCGTCTCGGTCAACTGTTTCTTTTTCCGTCAACTGTGCCGCCACAATATCCGGTGATCATTATCTACGTAGACAAGACGAAAATTAATTGCAGCGACTAGTCATAATATTATTATCAAATGACAAAAGGAAACCACATCAATTACTGGAGTAATACACAGTTACTTCCTACAGTCTTTTACAGGAATCATTTGGATTGTTTTGTTATCTCGGTACTAGTGTACTTTTGTGTCTTGGACTCTTTACGCCGTCTTCCGGTTAAGTCGTCCGGCTACTTACAATAAAATCAGTCACGGAACTCGTTACGGCCTATGAGTAACAGGATTGTTAAAGTATAAGTTTTATACATGACAGCTCTAATAAAATAATAATTATTAATTATGTCCGTTGAGGATACCTTTATTTGTATACATATGCAACTATAAATATTACTGTGTTGTTAAAACCGATGTTGTAGTTTTAAGTCTTCTTTTTCATTACTCTCGAGTTCCAGTTTTTTTATTCAAAAATAATAAAATAAATGACGTTTTATGACAACCGTGTGCAAATTAACTGTATGAAAATTATATTTTTCACAGTGAATATTGACGCAATTAATTATTATATGGACTATTTATGGAAAAAAAACGTATCGGATTGTCATAGGCACACATTTAAGGGTGACTAATTTATATAATTTATTAGGTATCGGAATTGAGTTTTTGTTTGGATTTTTGAATATATTGTGTATCCAGTAGTGTATATTTAGAGGTGTCCCTTTTCTTGCAATGGTATCGTGAGAACAAGTCGCGTATCGGAAACACGTTTCGCTACAATAATGTTATGGGACGACGACAACAGGCGTGTCAAATAGTATTTTTTGATATTATTACTTCATAGTGTACGTCCCACAATGGAAACGCACCCCGAGACACGTTTGAAATGTTGCCATGTCCGGTTTTAGGGATTTACAAATGGCCCAAAGAATTTCTAATTCTTTTTTTTTTTATTCAAACGGCCGGTCAAATGTCCCGCACGCGGTTCTCTGCACGCTTAGATAAACATAAGTACAGAGCACTTCCTAGTGTGTGAACTGGAGTGAAAGAACACTTGTTTGTACGGAGACCGGTCATCGGCGGTGGATTAATAAAAAACATATTTGCCGACCTTCTTGTTTCGCAATGTGTTATTGTGCGTGATAAAGAAGAAGAACTTGTAAATCGTGTTTAAAAGCCTAAGTACAATGTATCGGAGTAGTGATATAATTCGGCGATATTTTCCCAGCATTTGAGCTTTAATTACGTGCGTAGAAGATTATCATATCGGTTGGGCTATGAAAAGTAGATAAAGAACTCGCTATTGAATAAAATAATGTTTTTTTTTCGGATGAATAATGATAAGAACAATTGTTGAAGGTTTTGTAAACGAGTTTAAAATAACTACCGAGAGTTTTAATCGTGTTCATTAATACTATTCACATGGATCAGATTACTCGAATGCATTAGAAATATCTTCCAATACTCAATTAGTTATTTTATCTAACCGTTTATGGATAATTAAATACCGGTTGGATACTTTTTATTCGTTTACCGTTTTTGACCTTTTCTCGGGGTGCCCTTGATTTAGTATCTTTTCAAAACTCGGTATATATCATTCTTATATTATACGTTATTTATTCTTTAATACGTAATAACTCGTCGGTTGTTTTGACGTGAAGAATAAGACATGCTGCCGGAGATAAGTAACGGCCATGATGTATTGATGAGGTCAAAAAGCGCCGAACCGATCACCAGTAAAGTCCCATGAAGTTTATTTCTAAATATTATCCCTTCTTTAGAATTCATTGGGAGAAATAGAAAATTATGGCCCTCGTCTAATGAGATTTAAATGTACATAATAATAATAATAATAATATATAAAGCAAGTAGTAATAACACACGAACATCGAACGTCTCACAGTGACAACCGGTAACGATTCGTTCCGTGTCAACGAATACCCTTTACGAAAGGATTGCTCACATTGATTTTACTGTCTTGTTAGGGAATCGATAAATCACAACCGCGAACCCCATTTTACGCATTTTTTATTCGACTGGTTTCTACGATGTGACATTATGTGCACGTTGTGTACAAACTTAAAAAATAATATTTTTTTAATGTGTTTTAATGCTTTAAAATGTCATTGAAAATTAATGCTATTCATCGATTTCTTGAAAATATTCTATTGTGAAATACATTTTAATAATAATTCAAAATTTTAGTTTTGAGAACTGCTTACTGTCAAAATTATTAACGGAAGTCTTGAGTTTCCCTGACAGTATTTGAAAATGAACGTATAGTTTCCTTTCAGAAACTGATTAGCCGTCAGATTAAATCTGTAAAAATCAAGGTTTTCTGATTAAAGCGTTTTTTGACGCTTTATAATAATGTTTCTGTTTTGACGGCGTTTTTGCCAATCGAACGAAAATTGAATCGGTAAAAAACTGACGGCGTGCGACACAAGGTCAGGCATCCCCTTTATCTTGTCATTTTATCCCAGAAAACAAACTATATGTGTATTTAGGTAACACGTTTAAACATACAACTATAAGTCACTTGTAAATTACATGAAAGTATTTAAACAACATATTTGAACCATTTATCATTATAATATTATAGCCCAGTGGTTTGGTATAATTAATTATTTTAAGAGTTGAATAACCTAGATTCGACCGTTATTCTTTAGCGCAAACAAAAAATCGGGTTTGTTCAGTTGAACGTCAATAACGATTATGTCGATAACTATTGTGATGTTACTTTAAACGAATATACTCTATGTAAATGATATAAGTAATATTTATTGTGGTCGAGTGCCTTACAATTGTTTTAGTGTATCTAAAATAAGTAATTTTCTTCTATCATCTCATATGAAAACTTATTTTTCACGATAATGATTTTAATTTATAGTAAATAATTTGTCATATATTATTATTGTTTAATGTACATTAATATTTAACCATTTCTTTAAATCTAACAAAAAAAATCTATTTTTATGTCATCATAAAATCTCGAGTTATTCTGTTAAAATATAAAAAACGTTTTCAAGTATCGAGTACGTCTAAACGAATTATCATATGATTGATTTTTTTTTCTATCGATAATAATAAATATAGGTCATCGATAATCTATTAGAGCCATGAAGCTTCCTGTACAACAACCAAAACTCGAGCAATAGGAAATGGAAATCTTCTTTCATTCTTGTAAGTATTATAACAGCATTGTGCGTACAACCCTTTTTCTTCCTTTCCCACATACGCCACACTAGATACCACTTTGAGAAATACTCAATCGATTCTATGCCTAATTACAATATCCTGTCTCACCTGGCAGATTCCTTCCGAGTTGTTCATCAACATATATGTAAATGCTTGTCGTATCGATTTCACCAAAAGCCCTTTTGTGTGTATTCCTACGACTACCATTCTTATATAGAATTTTCCACGTTTACACCAGTGGCAGTATTGGCCTACTGTTTGTAATATATATATACTGCGTTATTCGTCGGGGTCATGGTTTGCCAGACATGTGTTTAGGATCATCTTTTTTTTCATTTTTTGTAAGAAGGATGTGTTTTTATCCCTTGTCGTGGTCGTCGTTGAACAACTGTTCTTGCCTGATGCATTTCCTCTAGATAGTTTCTGTTTTGTCCTTCTGTAATAGACAATTAGTTCCACCGAAAGTATTATTTCTTTTTGCTCTTTTTGAAAATACATTGAATTAGACTACACCGTTTTAATTTCAAATATAATATAAAACAACAATGTCAAATTAAATATTAACAATTAATTATTTTAAACTGAATATGAGGTTTATATTTTTCCAATCATTTTATAATCGAAGGACAATTTGATCGGCACGCAGTATGATATTAAGTATTTAATCATAGACAAGAAAATCGTAAAACAGCAAAAATATACAACAAAAATGCAAAAAAACAAATGCACGTCTATTAATTAAGTCTATTCGACAGCTGTGAATAGTAATTCGAAAGGTCAACTGCATAAGAAATAGCGTTTTGTTTTTAATTACTCGCGAAATAATATTATCCTGTTCATTAAATAGGTCAATTAAATTTAAAAAACTTTGCCATATAAGTATGTGGAAAAAAGTTCATAAACTTTTCAATGGCCTGTCAAATTTCCACTGTATTTAAATGGGTTACATAAGTAATAACCGACTTTTAAGCCTTGTTCTTGTCCAGTAATAAAATGACAAATACACGGTTGCGACAGTTGAAAGCTTTGTACTTGGTTAATTAAAAAGGAAAAAAAACGTATAAGGGACAACGCTCACACGAATAGACATACAACAATGGGCAGGACGAACGACGATTTTCAGGGCGTACAAAAACAATGTGTACAATTTTTCACGGACCTGTGGCTTCGAAAGCGATAATTGTGTGGACTTTTCTGTATTTATTACTGGGGTTGGTCGAGCCTGTTGTTTTTTTACCCCAGTTATTCACGGTTATCAGTCACGCTGAAGACACGCATCGCCATCGTATCGTCTTCTTGTTGTAAACGAGCTTGTAATTTTACATATTTATTGTGTACACGTTGTAGTATCATTGTTAATTTTACATAATATAAAATTGTCATGAGAACGCAATTCTGAAATAATTTTATTTTTAAATAATTTAACGCGATTATGTATTCTTTTACGTTAGATTTATATTTAACGTCAGTATAATTAATATTACACTCATAATAAAACTAGCAGAGAGCACCAAACATATACATTTATTAAATTAAAAATTAAATATCGAATTTAACATTAAACTTGTGAAACTACACGAGCGTATGTGTGTTCAGCTATTTTAAAGTATTGGGAATAACTTGTATTTATATGCCATAATCGTAAACAGTTTATAACAATAAAATATATAGAACTAACTGTTTTGCGGTCAAAATATTTGTAGCGATACAATTTAGTAACATTTAATGAAATTATGTCCTCAATATTTGTGGTTTTGTATGATTATCTGTTCAGTCCAGTGATTTAATTATTACAATTTAGATAATACGCTAGGGTCGCCACAAATAGCATTATCAATTTTTTAAGTCATGTTTATGTAGTCGTATGTACACGTTTTGATAGTACTCCGTTACAAGTGTGACCTTAACATGTATAAATCGCCTACTTTCCGTTTAATATTCATTGGCGTCCACATCATTTTCTCGATTGAGGCATTAAAAAGGGATCAAAATGTATACGCTCATATCAAAAGGTCATAGTTTCAGTTTACACGATAGCTTGTTGAAAAGCATTTGAGTCGATAAATAATTTTTCAAATTCAGCCCGGAAAGATCGATCGATTGGAAAATCTGCTTAAAATTATTAGTCTTGTTGATGTTTGTTTTAACGTCTGCGGAATTTCGTATTGCCCGCGGTAATAGAAAGGTGTTAAGTGACATAATGGGAGATAATGAAAACAGAGTGTTTATAATATCTTAAAGGACTTATTGTTGGGCCTAATAATTGTTGTCATTTACTGACCCGCCGGAGTTGCTGTCGACACTAAGAACAGGTTTCTGCATCCGCTACTGCTACCGGAACCAGACGTGAGATGATTTCGTAACTACCACAACGTCGTGTGCTGCCTATACTATAGTAGTAGCGGCGTCAAAACAGCTATCCTCTTTCAAGCCGAACAATACTCCTGGGGTTCTTGTGTACAGTCTAATAAAGAATTTCGCAAAGGAATAAGCTATAAAAGTACTAAAAAAAGACCAACAGTCAGACGTTTTTTATTGACCTAACTTTATAAATAGAAAAAAAATAATATATAGGTATAATGTAATAGTTTATAACCTGATTGACGGCATTGGCCTCTCAAAGTGACGAAATACGATGGCTGCTATAAAATTTATGTAGTTAAATACACACATATGATGTGTTATTATGCGTGAATCCCATAAGGATTAAGAAAGAATGCCCTTCTCTCGGATCATCTACCATAATGTAATAGAGGGGCGGGTAATGCAGGTAAGTGTACGAGTCATTCAGCAATAACTCGAATTTTCTATTTGTTCCGAGTAAATCCCGAGAACTGACTAATGAAATTTCGTATGCGCTTAAATTTGAAACGAGGGACTGCACTCATACTACAAATTTCATAACAACCGCTGTCACTCTGTGTATATAATTTAATTCTTTATATAGCACAATACAATGGCAAAACGAGGGCTCAAAACTAAAATTGTGAGTTGCAACTCTCCTTTTATTAATTTTTTTGTACCGTATAAAACCGTTCTACGCAACCCACAAAGTTATACAGTAGTGCGGTCCGAGGAAAAACCTGGCGCGTCGGCACTATTCACTTTACTCGTTGAAAGGGCGTCTGAAATAAGAATAAAGAACTGTTTTAAAACAAACAAAATAAGTGCTACTCTTTTTGTCGATACAATGTTTTTATTTATAATTATTGTTTGTCGCTTTGTTTTAATCATCTTTTGTTATTTGGTTCGTTGCGATGGACACAATCGAGAGGAACCGATGAGATCGCTAAATATGGTCACAGGGCGACATACTCAAAATTTCACAATACTTACCCTCTTGTAAACTTCATATTGAAACTCGACGTCTAGACGTGTCTATTATGACTTGAGTGACTTATTGTTAATTGTTATATTTTACATTGATGACTTAATGCACACTTGTAATAAGTGCACAATATATAAGTATTATGAATGAATGCAAGTCAAAGCTTTTATACGAAGTTAAAAAAATTCCCATAATTTATTAATTCTTAATTCAACTTGTTAATAATATATGTCTTAATCTATTAGGAATGGGAGTTGTTGGTTATATCAAAGTTGGAATGGAAAATAGTGGCAGTCACCAGCTTCGACTATGTTGATCACATTATGGAACAAGTTAAATGGAAAAGGCGAAACGATTCCATGCTCAGGAGGCATATGCTGACATTGATTTCGTTTTGCTATATAGGTAAGCGTTTTTTTTAGAGAAATAAGAGCTTAAATAGCGTCGATAAATCATAATTTCTTTAACTTTAATTTTAAACATATAAATATTTATACACTTCGGTTGAAATAATACATTGTTAAGTATCGAGTTTATTCGTCATAGTCATATATTTAAGCTTGTTCCAATTATGATCGAAATTTACCATTAATTACTTAAGATAATTATTTTAAGAGAATCTATGTAAAACTGCAATTAGTAGTATGATATAAAATTTTAATAGTTTAGATCTACGTTTGCCTAGTTCAGGGACTCTTGATTTTTTCGTACGTTATTATTAGGAAATGCTGTTTAAAACTTAACAAAGTCTGTAAGTACAAACCTTTTCACGTGTTTTGGAAAGAAAAGTTTCGCTTTCCACGGTTGTTCACCTCATGAAGTAATTTCAACTACGCATATATGTGTAATTTACATGTTTTTAGGTTACAAAAAGCATATAGTATGCGTCAACTGTTATTCATATATTGTACAGTGTTTGTCGGCTGTCGTCTCTATAGTATATAATGGGCGTTTTAATGTGTCATTCTATACGCGTAGTTCAAGGCCTCGTATACAGGGAAGTTTGACGTTAAAAGTGTAAAGGTATATCACAAACAATTAAAACAATATTTATAGACTATCGTGGTACGCATATATTACCTGTAAATTGTAGGTACCCGTGTCTTGGTCGATATCAGTTCTTTGTTGATAAGTTTTTTATTGTTTTTAATATGAGCGATACAAAAGCGGGTTTAACAAACTTATATCCCAACCACAATTGTAATATGTATGTATATATGTGCACTTTTATTATCGCTGCACTTCTAACGCCTCAGCGTTCGTTCATTAACCTTCAACACGTCTCGCTGTATGAATCAAATTAAAATAATAATACTTAGGCATGATCATCATTAGATATTAACAGCATAATTCTATAATAATATCCAAAGTCGTAAACAGTCATCGAACCTCGGAGACTTAAACGGTGGTCGCCCAAGTTATACAAATTAAAAATTATTTAATTTTTTTCATAACTATAAATAATTTATAATGATTTATTACTAATCTCAAATAAGACATAAAAATAAAACTTTAATTTTTTTCTCTATTATTCCAATGAGTTGAGAACTTCTATTGGAATACGTCCAATTTTTACATAGTGACATTTAACATTAATTAATTTTAAATGTAAATTTTATCACATTTGGTCAACCGAGTTATTACAGAAGAACAGCTACTATATTAAATACATTGTTTTTTTTCTCAATCTATTAGCTATACAATGAACGGTAGGGAGAGTAGTGCCCGATGTTGTTTCGCAGCTGCTCAGCACATATTGCACGTATACATACACATATATATATATGTATATGACGAAGTCATTATATATATGCACATAGTGATACACTATATGTGTAGCGAGGGCATTTCGCCAGTCTATAAATACTACACAAGTCCGAACAATACCTATAACATGACACGTCAAGTAGACAGAGAACAACTACAAAAAAGAGAGGGAGATCTTTTTTCAAAGCAAATAGGTGCCTATGTGCACGGATTACCCCATACGTATTTAGCACGCGTCCCGCTTGCTAAACCCTCCCGGACCCTGCTTGTATTTTTTGGTATTTAAGCTTCTATCAATTGTCACAGACTTATTTTGATTTAAAAAATCTCCAAAGCTTATAGGTACAAAAAGTAATCCTTAGACGGTAGTGATTTGTGTGATAATATGAAACGTGTACGTTGTACATCTGCTAAATTTTCCATATTGACGTTTCAGCTTTTTTGCATTTTTTAAAACAGCAAATCATATTAAGAAATTTTTTCGAAGCATTTATTAAAATTTCAGCGGGGGAACTATAAAAAATCATTGAACCCTCTGTAAAAAAATCTACATTTGCAAATATCAATTGCCAACGAATCTTTTATGTTAATACGGGTGACCGCATAAGTCACCCATAAGATTGACATTTGCTTAATGCAACATTGTTCGAATTATTTGTTATCACAATTGAATATTGTTTTTATACTGGCAGTCACGTGACTTTTTTCAATTTATACTGTTTTCGAATGATAAATTGTATTATACGATGTGAATTGTGGCAAAACCGAGAGTTAGAGTAACTTTCGATACATTATTCTTTTTGACACTTGTTTTGACGAATCTATTAATTTTAATTTATTAAATTTTAAATATATTATTTTCACATTGTTATTTTTATACGTGTTCTTGTTATTCTCATTTCTATTGTAAAATCAATGTAAGTATGCATTAATATATAAAGAATTTATATTTAACGAGTTACAATCTTTAATAATTAAATCGACAAATGCGTTTGTTGTTTCTCATGTGTTGTACGTGTAAACCTATTAGAAAAACAAAAATTATTTTATAACTGAGCACTAATATTGTATTCAAATGTTTTTGTTTTTTGTTATATCTGGCAGTTCTTCGAGTTTTGACGAACAAGACCGACACATGCTATACGTTTATGTTAATTAAACGTCTTATGTGTTAAACTCCATGGTTTATTTACCATCTGCAAAACATTTACTTTCAGTTATCCACTAACTAAACTTTTAAAGCCTGTTTAAACTATAACATTATTTCTTTAATATTTTTTTTTGAAATCTCTACCGTTTTTAATACTTACTTATTGATTGGTTAAATACTTTCCATGCCTGGATATTGGTTCTGGATGTCTAAACGCATAACCCTTTAGTACAACCCCACCATGGTGGTTATTCGACTGCAAAACACAATTGCCATTGTCGGCTTTCTGAAATTGAATATTAATTGGAAAATCTAAAAAAATAGATGCATTTATCGGCTCATTTATTTTGCGGTAAATTAACTGAACGGTAACGACACGTGACTAGTTAGACATGATTATTCCTATAATAATAACAATAATAATTTAATACCATTGCACATTGCACTAGCATAAGCGTATGTATAACTTTGCATTGTATTGATAATAATCATCTGGTGTTAATTTTAAATTATGTCTGTATGTACGCTTCTATGCATATGCCATTGTTTTAAAAACGAGTAAGACACATTAAAAGGATATCCACCTGTAAGTGAGTAGTTGTGTTCGCCTTTATATTCAACATCGTGTTTGTCAACTTACCATTCGTTCAACTACGGTCAAAATCATTCACATTGCATACATGTAGTAACACATTGTCTTTGAGGATGGTAGCATTTAGAACCGGTGTTCTAGGGTAGTTTCCTTGACTTTGGAAGAACTCGTTGGTGATAAAGACACGTGTTACACGTTGGTTATTGAACCCTTAGGATAAATAGTCTTAGCCTTCGCTGTGTACACTGTTATGCACATTTATAAAATACATTGTAAGGATCTGAAATTAAGATCATGGTTTGTATTCATATTTATTATACACGGTGGTAGAAAAATAACAGTAGTGTTAAAAATACTACTACAATTACTACTACTACGATAAATGACGTATACATTGCCTAACGGTAACACCTGTCAAAGAAGAAGATGGCGATAGTAGTAGCCGCGTTATGTGATTCAACAATTAAATGCGGGATGTTTATAATGTCTTGTTCTTTTTTTTATTATTAAAAAGGAAATGCCTACAGGGAAAAAATAAAAAGACAAGGTGCATTTTGTCGCAATTGTGGTGGAAAGTTCTTATTGTCATGGTGGTGGTAATTAATTATAACTTTAAACTAAAAACTATGTTTGAATGTTGTAGTAGTATTCAACTCATACTACGTAGTTTTAAAGATCCTTTCGAAACTGAAACATATTTTTTGCCACGTATATGCATATTTCGCTCGATGTTTTTGCCCGAATAAATAAAAATACATTTATTCGCAACCTTATAGAAAAATTCTAGATCCGCCCTTTCTTGTTATTCATTTTAAAAGTAAAGATACTATATTTGGTTATAAATTTATCGGGGAAGAATTAATTTTTCATTAACAATTCATAACTAAAACTGGGGTGTAAAAGAAAAGTTAATATTTTGAAAAATGTCTTATAAACTTTCTGGTAAAATCTAAATAGAATCCATCCATATGTTGCTTTGAACAAACTTAAATAACCAATCGTTATTTGAAGTATAGTATTTTTATTTTCGGATCCTTTAATATTTTTATGAACGGGTAAATTATTATCATTTAGATTATGCCTTAATTTTAGGACAATTGGCCAGAGTTTTTTTTTATCATCTAGTCCAATCGACGATCTGTATCGAAGTCACCGCGTGTCTCCAGTACAGACCAGGTGTATGACGTATAGAGAAATTATAGCGCACTGTGCTACCTCCAATAGCTCTGCTGACGCTGCTGAGGGAACAAATCCAAACATTGCAGCTGCTCCTCCTCCAGGCAGCTGTAATAATGTCTGACTTTTTTTCTTTTTTTTTTTAATATTTCATTTATTTCGTATATATAAATAAACACGCCAGGTAAAAATATTCTACGCGTTTAATCACCTCGTTGGTACAAAATTATTATCACACATTCGATTTCATAAATTTTATATCGCAACTCAACTATGAAAGACACCAATAGCACTTCATTAAAATATTGTAATAATAACTGGTGATTCGCATCGATAGACAGGAAACATTCATATTAGAGGACAAATATATTGCAACATCTGTACAGTACCTTCATCAATTAACCAAGATGAGTTTTACAATTTAAAGTGAAACCTAATAATGAATAAATTAAAGGGTTTTTAAACCAATTGTTATGTTAATAATCATCGTTAACACTCATCTTTTTTAATTTTGAAAACTTAATACAAATAAATAATTTCACACAGTACAATTTAAATTATATATTAAATTATTTACACATCGAAACACGTTTTGTTTATAAACTAAAAATGATACCTGTAAAATTTATTATCCGTTTATTTGCGATAGTCAGTTTGGTTGTATCATTTGAATTTAAACTCGTGGTTGGGGATGAAGATCAGTAGTGGATGCACTTATAG